GGGGCTGCGATCTGCGAAACCGTCGCCACTTTCGAGGGCTGCTGGTGGGTCCAGCGGAGTGAGGCACCGCGCAAATGTGAGCGGGACCTCGCCGTCCCTGGGGGGCTGCGATCTGAGAAACTGTCGCCACTTTCGAGGGCTGCTGGTGGGTCCAGCGGAGCGAAGCACCGCGCAGATCTGAGCGGGACCGCGCAAGTTTGGGGGGCTGGAATCTGCGAGACTGTCGCCACTTTCGAGGGCTGCTGGTGGGTCCAGCGGAGTGAGGCACGGCGCAGATTTGAGCGGGACCTCGCCGTCCTTGGGGGGCTGCGATCTGAGAAGCTGTCGCCACTTTCGAGGGTGCTGATGGGTCCAGCGGAGTGAGGCACCGCGCAGATCTGAGCGGGACCTCGCCGTCCCTGGGGGGCTGCGATCTGAGAAACTGTCGCCACTTTCGAGGGCTGCTGGTGGGTCCAGCGGGGTGAAGCACCGCGCAGATCTGAGCGGGACTTCGCCGTCCCTGGGGGGCTGGAATCTGCGAAACTGCTGCCGCCACTTTCGAGGGCTGCTTGGGGGGCCAGCAAAGCGATCTGCAAAAACTGTCGCCACGTTCGAAAGCTTCTGGTGGGTCCATCGGAGTGAGGCACCGCGCAGATCTGAGCGGGACCTCGCCGTCCCTGGGGGGCTGCGATCTGAGAAACTGTCGCCACTTTCGAGGGCTGCTGATGGGCCCAGCGGAGTGAGGCACCGCGCAGATCTGGGCGGACCTCGCCGTCCCTGGGGGGCTGCGATCTGCGAAACCGTCGCTACTTTCGAAGGCTCGTGGCGGGTCCAGCAGAGTGAGGCACCACGCAGATCTGAGCGGGACCTCGCAATCTTGGAGGGGGCTGCGAGCCTCACGAATGCCGCTCGCAGAAGCATGTGCGCCCATGTCACGTCATCACACCTCCGTAGAACGTTCCCCGAGCTACTCGTGCCCCGCATTGCGCAGGGGTTGGGTACGTCGCTGGGGTAATTTGTCGTGCCCACTTCCGTGGAATGGGACCCAGTGTTCCTCCTTCCTTCTCCCTCCTCCCCCTTCCTCCCCCTTCCTCCCCATTCCTCCTCCTCCTCCTCCTCCTCCTTCCCCTCCTCCTCCTTCCCCTCCTCCTCCTCCTCCTCCTCCTCCTCCTCCTCCTCCTCCTCCTCCTATCGTCCTCCCCCTCTTCCCTCGCCCTCCTCCCTCGTCCTCCTCCCTTCTCCTCCCCTCGTCCTCCTCCGACCCCCGCCCCTCCGTAGCCATTTTGGCTCAAGGCTAATGCTTTTGCGGGCTGAGCCCGTATTGGCTTCCACGGAGACCGCTAGTCCGCGGCAGTGCCAGAGCGCTTGCGCTCGACAGCTTACCGCCTACACCGAGGGGTTGGGCTCCCTCATCAGTTTTGTCGCCACGGCCAGGCTGCCTGGCTACGGTACGGCCGTCACTGCTCTTGTCTCTCGTACTGTGCGGGCGTCATGGCGCCGCCGAAAGGTGCTGCGGCAAGAGACAGGGCAGCACGGGCCAAGAGATGGGTGTGCAGGCACTGCACACATGAGAAAACTGGCGAGCCTTGGCACAATCATGCAGATGCTGTGTCTTGCTTCTTGTGTGGTGGGGCCAAAGGACGCGTCTACAAGTGCGATCTACCTTCTCCTACGCCCAGTGTTCGTGCACCTGCTGCTGGGGGCAATGCACGGGCGGCGCTGGAGGCTAAGGATGAGGAGTTGGCGGCCCTTCGGAAGCAGGTGCAGCAGCTGTCTCGGACCAGGCCGGCTGAGAACGTGCAGCAATCGCCGCCGCAGTCTGATGCCGCCACCACTAAGGACGACGCCCAGAGTAAGCAGCAGGAGCTGGAGGCGCTGGAGCAGGTTGTGGCCTCCCTCGAGCTGGCCGCCAAAGTCAAAGGCGTTGCCCCGCAGACTGTCGTCGGCTATGAGGAAGCTGAAACATCTTTACGAAAGTTGCGGCAGGAGATCCACGATGCTAAGCCGTTGGGTGCGCAGGTGCATGGCATTGGCAATAAGACTCAGAAGGCTGATCAGCAGATTGCGAAGCTCAAGGCCACCATCGAGTCGGAAGAGCAGGCCATTGCTGAAAAGCAAGCTTTGTTGGTGGATCTCGAGCAGCAGCTGGAGACCAAAGAAAAGGCTCGGGTGCAGACGCAGAGGGAGCAGATGGAGTTGCTGCGTACTCGGACACCTGAGCAGGTCACTCATGCTCCTGAAGGCAGCGACCAGGCGGTCTTTGACACCTTCACGGCCAGTCTGGAGCAGCTGCAGAGCCTGGTTCAGTCCCTCGGTGGCGGTGCGCAGTTGGCTGCCAGCTGCGCCCAGTTCGTGGAGCCCTGGCTTGAGCAAGTTCGGAAGCAGCGAACCGAACAGCAAGAGCAGCTTCGCGCGCAACAGCAGCAGCCACGACAGCAGCAGCGACCTCCTGAGCCGCCACAGCAGCAAGCTGAGCAGCCTGTTCGGCCCGAGCGCTTTGACATGCCTGTACCTGAAGATATGGACCTGGAAGATCTTCGGACATTTGTTGCTGATGCTGGGATGGAAGCCAGCGCTGATGAGACGGAGCTGCGTGCCCAGGCCAAGCGCCAGCTGGACTCGTGCCAGAAGCTGCTGGCCAAGAAGCCCAAGGTCGCTGCTTAGGCCTGTGCTCCTGATTGCTACTATCGGCGCAATGGCGGCAGATTCCCATACCTTCGATTTCGGCGACGACTTCGAGCAGTTGTGCGCCGACCCTGGCTTCGACCAGGATGATTTCTTCAGGCTCTACGAGCAGGATACTATAGCGTTTCTAGGACCTGCGCATGCAGAAGGTGTCAGCGAATGCCTACGTGCGGATCCTGGTGCGCTGCCAGATGCTTTTGTTCGTGTGCATGTTGATGACGGAGGGCATCAGGCGTTAGATCGCAAATCCTGGGTTGCCTGTGGCAGCTCAGGTTCGCAGTCGCGCCTGCGTCCACCACCCCCCAGGGCACCCCTTCCACAGGAGGCGGGGGACCCAGCGAGTGGGGGTGGGGGCGCGGGGTTTTGCTGGACTCCTCTTTCTCATGGCGCGGTCGCAGTCGGTGGCGCGACGTGGGGCAGCAGTCCAGGACACCTCCATCCAGCTCGGATGCCTGCACCTCCTGACCCAGTGCAGGACTACCATGACATGCGCCAGAACTTACGCGACTGGGCGGCCCTCTGGTTCGACAGCCACGCACAGATTCCACGGGATGGACGTCCGTGGGTTGAGTGGTGCACTGCCTTTTTATCCGCCTTGATCGGCCGTGATGCCAATATTCCTTTACGTCAGTTGCTCTTGACTTGGTTTCCTGGAAGGAGCCTTCAAGATATATTTGATGAATTATGTTCTTCGGCATGGCGGCAATCTGAGGGACGTCGAGAGGCCTGGTTCATGCGCCTCGCTGGTCGCGAGCCTGGCGCCGCTCAAAGGCTTGAGCACAGACATTGGAGAGCTCTCGACGAGGTCCGAGCGATGTTCCGACGAGTGCTGGGCGGCCAGGCCCCAGATGTCAGGAATATACCACATCCTCGACGACCTAATGCAGATGATGACAAGGCGGGCGACCCTTTGGACTCGGTCATCGCGCAGCTGGTGGTGCTGTCTTCCAGGCCGACAGCTTCCACTTCAGCTACACCCACGCCTGCATCTACCAGTCCTTGGAGTGGGTCAGCTACGCTGGTCGATATCACGACTGCTCCGATGAGTGCGACCAACACTGGGATCTCTAATATAGGATCCAGGCCACATGCCTTTCTGGAATCCAGCCCGAGTCGCCACGACCCCCGCCAGAACGCGTCTGGGCAGGCCCTCCCTGGGGTCCTGGGCCCCTGCTCGCCTCAGGCTGACGCTGAACGGCGGGAGGTCTCTTGGGGGGGCCGTTCGGTCTCGTCGGCTCAGGCCACCGCTGGCCCCCCTGGGCCTGTCGAGGGGCCGCAGAGGCCTGACGGGGCCCAGTGCTTACATCCTACCTTAAGTGGCATAGGGTCGAGCCATGCGGAGCCCAATTTACCATCGGATCCGACTGGGAAGGCACGACGCCAGGCCGACGACAGAGCCAAGCGCAGCCTGCCCTCGCTCAAGGGTCAGGTTGTGACGGTCAACGTCAGCTCGCATGGCTCCCTCTTCGAGTACATGCCAGGCATTGGCGACGACGTGAAGGTGCTGCTAGTTCAAGAGCACCACTTGCTGCCCGAGCGCCTCCAGCAGGCGCAATCTCAGGCTCGTGATATTGGTTGGCATGGGATATGGGCTGCTGCGACGCCGAGTACTGCCTCGGCGACGGGCACGACTGCAGGTGTTGCGATCCTGGTTCGCACGGACGTGATGATCACCGCCCCTATCTTGGCATAGAGGGAGGTCGTCACTGGAAGGTGTCTGTTTGCGCATATTCACTGGGGTGTGCCTGGAGGTTTCACAGCTGTCAGCATTTTCCTCGACACGAAGGATGGCATGGGCCCAGTCAACACGGCCTACCTGTGGGAGACGGTCAAGGCTCTCGCGAGGTTCAACAGCGAGGGGGTGGACTGGCTCATTGGTGGGGATTGGAATAACCAGCCTGCTGAGCTTTTCTCGTCCAGCTGGGCTACGGCAGCCTCGGCAATACCCTTCTGCCCAAAGGTGCCGACGTGCAGGCAGGCCAATCCTGGGACTGCACTTGATTATTTTTTGGTTTCGGCAAACTTGACAGCACGAGTAGACTCCCATGTTCTTGTTGATGAAGAGGCGGCTTTATACCCTCATTGTCCAGTGCACCTGCAAGTCCTTGGACAGGACTACCCGCTATGGAGGCTCGTGCCGAATTTGCCCAAGGAACTACCACTACAGGCCCCTACTGGATGCTCGAGGTTCCCTTACTATTGGGAGGCTACCAGCTTCGAGGAGGCCGATGACGCGGAAGGGCTTGCTGCTTGTATGGGCGACTTGATGATTGGGGTCGAAAGGGAGCTCACCAACCGCTACGACCATGTGGGGCCTGCTGCGCCGCGCAACTCAGGCCGAGCGGGGGCGACCTCCTTCACGTGGCGGAAGGTTGTCTGGCAGCCACCCCTCAAGCGCACCTACAAGCGCCCGCAGACCTTGGCCTGGAAGGTGGTGCTTCGATGGTTTATGCACATACAGAAGGGGCGCCACAGACTTCGTACGCTGGTCACCAGGCTTCAGATGGCCCATGTTCTTTGTGATAGTGATCCGCCCCAGCGCGCAGTCATACTTCAGGCTTTCAGTGAAGTTGGTGGGTACCTCCGTAACATCATGCGCAGCCAAGTGGTGCTCCACCAGATGCCTGAGAATGTGCAGGCTTTCCTGAAATCTGGGCTGCAGGTCTTGGTTGCACCTGGCTTCGAGGACCTCCTGCGCTCGGTCGGGAACGAGGCCACTCGGCTGCGCAAGGAGGACCAGCGGGAATCCTACCGAGCTTGGATGCAGTTCCAACGTAAGGCCTTTCAGTCAGGGGCCTCTATTGCTCACCGTGTCACCAAGGTGCGGCCGCTGGAGCAGGTTGTTGCATTTCAACGACGCCCCTGCAGATGCTCAGCCACAGGCTCTGGCGAATCGGGACATGAGGACTTGGGTTGATGTATGGACCCGTCATGGATGCCTACCAGTCCAGCCTCCTCCTGAGGCCGCAGAGTGGCCATGTCTTCCGAAGCGTGACGCCGACACCCTGAGGAAGGTGACACTGACATTCCCTAGAAAGACCTCGACGGGGCCCTGCGCATTACACCCACGCTTGCTGTGGCACTTGTCAGATGAGTCGCTCGAGATGCTGGGCAGCTTCTTTGCAAGGTGCGAGCAACTGCTCGCATGGCCTGCAGATCGGCTCTGGTCGATGATGTGTCGTATTCCCAAGGCTGATGAGGGACATCGCCTGATTGCGGTGGTCCACACTTTCCAGCGCATTTGGGGCAGGGCCCGACGTGGCATATCTCGGCAGTGGGAGCAGCAGCATCGCACGGACAATGTGTGGGGCAACAGGTCCCGCTACACCTCGTCGGACAGCGCTTTTAGCCACAACTTGGACTCGGATGTGGCTGTGCTGAGGGGCCAGTTCAGTGCGACGGTCTTACCAGATCTCACGAAGGCGTTCGACATGGTGCGGCCGTCGCAGCTGTTTCGCGAGGGCTGCTTGCTTGGCTATCCACCGAAGATGCTGTACATGTTGCTCAAGATGTACGCCCAGCCGAGGAGCGGCGCTGTTGTGTCGGCTGCATTGCTTTATCTGGGATGCTCGGGTGCCCCTCAGTGCGCTACGACATGCGTGGTTGAGTTTGGCAGATCGTGTTAACAACAAAGGGCTGACCTGGGCGGCGGTGCGCGGCCCACTGAGTGTTGCCTGGCTCACACTTAACAGAATTGGCTGGACATTTCTTGGTCCTCATCACTGGCGTAGCGACCAAGGTGAGGATTTTGATCTCCTGCGAGTGGCACCAGCCGACATGAAGGTATATCTCGAGGAATCGATCAAGCGGTGGCAGGTGCAGCGGCTGGTCTATCACTTGCCTGTGCAGGAGGCGTCTCACGATGTCTGGGAACGAGCTCTTCGACTTGGGCTCCGTGACTTGAGGCAGGCGCCGCTTGGAGCGCTGAGGGCACTGTGGGCTGATCGGTACCCCACTGCTGCCCGCCTTGCTGCATGGGGAAAAGATGTGAAGGTGCACTGTGCAGCCTGTCAGTCAGATGACGGATCTTTCGGGCATGTTTGGCACGGATGTCCCAGCTTGCGCAGCCCGGTGAGAGCGAGGAGGCTTCTGGTGTTGAGGTTTTGTGTGAGCGACACGCGTCTCATCGGGATGCTCTGCGAGCTCTTGGACACCGCCCCCCGCTCGATCCTGAGTTTGACCGACTCTATTTTAGTTACGGTTTTCCGAGGCTCTCGATCCAGCTTCCATCCCCGCCTGAATCTTCGGTGGTTTGGGAGTGGGGTGACGTTGGGGGCGAGTGGGGGCCTGTTACTTTCGGGGATGGAAGCGCACAGCACCCCGCCGTGCCTGAAGTCAGGCGAGCGGGGTGGGCCATAGTTCAGCTCAACGATGCGCTCCTCCCTGTCCGCGCGGTGTTTGGATCCCTGGAGGGTGCTGTCCAGACCGTGGGCAGAGCGGAGAGAACTGCGCTCCTGCACGCCATGAGGCGTAATCCCAGCATGGAGGTTTTTGTTTCGGATTTGCTTTCTCTGGTTCAGGAAGGCTTGTCTTGGGACCCTGAATTGGCGTGCGGAATGAATAGATACGCTGCCATTTGGAGGAGTGTCTTTGCGTTGGCGCAGCGTAGGCCTGTCCAGGACCCTCCCCCTCACTTCGTCTGGACCCCCGCTCACCTCTCTCTCGAGGAAGTCCTGGAGCGAAAGCTGGACCCGATAACCTGGATCGGGAATGCGTGGGCCGACCTGTTTGCCAAGCTAGCTTCGACTTGGGTCATGATAGCTAGGACGACGGCCGAGGCGGTCGCAGGCGAACTCAAGTTTCATCGTGCTACCATCGATTATATTTCCTGGGCTGCTGCCAGGCTCGCCCGACTCAGACGGTGGACTTCTCTGCCCCCGCCGTCGAGTGTTTGTCGACCCCAGCCTGCGCCGCAGCTCAGCTTGCATGGTCATTCCTTTTTCCTCGACCCTGACTCAGGGGAGGTGAGATGCATCTCATGTTTCGTCGGGGCCTGGACCTGCAGCACCTTGGCGCATTTGTGTAACGGCCCCTCCAAGTTTTGCCGACCCTCGGCCCTTTCAGCCCTCAAGGGGCAGGAGTGGTTGCGGGTGCGAAATCTAGCGCGGCCTGTGAAGGCCGCGGCTGTGGTCGAAGCGGACCAGGCCCTGGTGGCTGAGGGTCTGCTGCCGCCCCTTCCCCCCCCTGGAAACCCCTCGGGAAACGAGAGAGAGGCGGCCATCTGTGATTTTGAGTCGAGAGGTCACACGATTGAGAAGTATGATCGTGTGATGATTTGTTCCACCTGTGCTGGCTTTGTGTTGCTCCCGCATGGTGTCCCTCGCGCCCTGATGGCCAAGTGTCAGGGCGCTTCCAAGGTTCCATCAACCAGGGACAAGCAGTTGCGGAAGCTTTCCAAGGCCTCCAGAGGCCTGCACCCGTGGGTGAGGTCCTCTCCTGTGCCCAGGGCCCTTCTCCCTCCTCGCCTATGTCCTTCCCTCAGGCGTATCCCTCCATGTCATCCATGGTGGCCAGTGTCTCCCGTCCTGAGGAGGCCGCCACTACCGATGGTAAGGGGGTGGGGCGGGTGGAGCGGCGGAGCGGGCGGGGGGGGGTTTCGGATGACTCTGATTAACTCGTTTTGTTCTTTGGCGTCGGCGCTGCTGCCGTCGCCCGCTGCCGCCGCTGGCGGCCGCCTCCTGTACGCGAAGTTCTGCATGTTCGCGCCAGGCGCGCCCTGCTGTCTCCCGCGTGCTTCCCATTCCTAGCCTAGGGTTGTTCGTTCCCGCGGACGACCCTCTGTCGGCGCCCACCTCCGACCCCCGCCGCGGGCGCACGCCGCCGCCGGGCACCGAGCGGCAGACACGGCGGGCGGTGGGCCTCCATTCGCCCGTCGCCACCCCCGCGGGGGCCCTGGCCGCCGCCAGCGGCGTGGCTGCGAGGCGGGGATGCACCAGTCGGGTCCGGCAAAAGTGGGGGATAGCAAAGGGGGGGTTTGAGAATCAGCTCACGTAGCTGATTTTCCCGGCGCCCCCGGCGCCGGAGGCGGCCATGTATCGAGGAATGGGCCCCTCGGTGAGGCCGAAACCAGCTGCATGCAGCAAATTTCGTGACCCCCCCTTTCCCAATCCCCCCTTTTCGCCCGGCCCGAACCAGGGGGTAGGGGGAGGGGGGAAGGCTTCTCAGAAGGAGGCTGCTTCTTAGAAGGCGCCGGCCTTACATCTACAAAGAAGGCCCGCGCCTTCTAAGAAGCAGGGGTGCTTCTGAGAAGCCCTCACCCCTCCCCCCACCCCCGTGTGCGCGCCGCCAGGTGGCTGCGAGGCGGGGATGCGCCCAGAGCCACCCAAGACGAAGCCAAGACGAGGATGCACGATCGGGCGGTCAGAAATCGAGAATCTTTTAGGCCTGGCGGCTCTGGAAGATGTCTCGGGCGCCGCAGCCTTCTCAGAGCGTTCTGGAACGCTTTGGAACGGATTCATCCTCATCCTAACCCCGCCCGACCACTGCCTGTGGGACCGACGTATTGCTTGGACTGGTGCGGGGTTTGCTAAGAGCGCGGGGAAAGCGAAGGGGATAGAAGGATTTTTAGCGGATGCCACAGGGTGGGTCATACCTGGCGTGCCCTCGCTGGCACGTGGGCTACAAGTGCCATAATCGGCGAAGGGTGCTTGACGATCAGGGCTAAGCTGGCTCCGCCTACCTAGCGGAACGGGACCTTGTGACGAAGTTAATTCAGATATGACCCACACTGGCATCCTTCAAGAGCCCGTACTCACCTTAGCAACCCCGCGCCGATCCAAGTGGAACCCCAGCGGGCGGTGGCGATCGACACATTTTGGCTCCAGGGGGCCAGGATATCTCAATATCCGCCGCCTGCCGATGTCCTCCCGAAGATCGATCCCCCAGGCGGTCCTTTTGGGCAAAACCCCGCCTCGGAGTGGCACCCCACAATCCGCCCGCCACGCCCGGCCGACTGCGCGGCGGCAGCGGCAAAGTCGTCGCGGCTGCGGCGGCGACGGCTCAGACCTCCTACCGGTATGACACACATCAAAACAACGGTGTGTCGCGGATTCCGGCCCGGGAACCCTCGATGGGCACCGGGCCCGTCAGAAAACTACACAAGAGCAAAAGCCCGTCCCGGGGACCTCGTGGTCCGCGGCCCACGTTGGTAAGGGCGCTGACGCCCACGAGGCACGAGCACCGCGCGCGTTCGCCCGCCGGCGGGCTATGCGCGCAGCGCAACCTCTCGCCACGATGACGGCAATGCAATGTTGTCCGTTTGACGCTGTGCTGCTTTAATGCGCATCATGCTGTTTCCCCTGCTGTCCGCTTGACGCTGTGCCACTTGGCCGTGGCGTCTCCGACCGTCTTGGGCCGTTTTGGGGCGATCTTTGGGGCCTCCTGGGCTGTTTTGCAGCGTCGGGATGCCGATCAAGCGAAAACGCGAAAAACCTTCAAACATCAACGGAAAACACATGAATTTTGACTCTTGGGGCTTTCTCGGGGGGCCTCTTGGAGGCCTCGGGGCGTCTTGGGGGCAATCTGGGCCGTCTGGAGGCCATCTTGGTCGGTCTGGAGCGGAGCGATCTTTCGGTGATTCGTCGCCTTCTTGGAACATCTTGAGGGCCATCTTGGGGCCGTCCGTGCCGCCAGGAAGCGCGTCTGCTGACATGGGGCTGATTGCGGCCGTCTTCCGCTGGCTTCCGCTGGCGTTCTGCCCGTGGCCCGGGCCATGTCCCGAGGGGTCCTCCCCAGACCCCCCCAAGGGAACACACAACTGGACCCCCTCCGCAAGATCGGGGAAAAAGTCCACATAGTCTAGATATCAAGACATAAAAGCAGCCAGATCAGCGCGACGATACACGTTGATGCCCGACTGAGGATGGCAAGATCCTGCCCCTGTGGGCTGGAGAGCGAAGCCAAAACGAGAACGAGAGTCACACTGCCATTCGGCAACGGACTCGAGCAGGCACCCACCACGAGCGCACAGGTCTGGATGCTCACAGGTCCAAATGGCACTCGGCACAAGGCTCGACGGCGGTACCCCTGAGGAGGACCACGTCATCATGCGCACAAGGCACAGCGGCGTCACACCTGAGGAGGCGATCGACAGCTACCACACCACACGGCACGGGGCCCCGGGATCCTCACAGATCGATCGGGTGGCCCAGCGTGCCCTCGAGATCCGGATCCCACACCCTGCTGGATAGCCTGCAGGCAACGATCTGCCAGCGAGCAACCCTGCCTGCCAAAAACATGTGGTCCCACGAGTCCAGCGTGGACCACGAGGGCAGCAGATGGACCAGCAGCATGTCCCTCAGCCTCCTGTCGAAAGCCTCGTGGTCCGAGATGTGGCGCAAGATCTCCTCCTTGTCCTCGGGCCTGCTGGCCCCCATGCTGCAGATCTCCAGACGGGAGAGCACATGCAGGTTCTCCTGGAGTATCCGTCGCGATGGGAGCTGCAACCTTTGGTCCATTCCCATGGAGTTCGATGCCGCAATCTCGGCGACGCACCACGCTCGGTTGAACACCTCGAAGCGCCTGTCCACCGCAACAAGCTGCGAGAAGTTCCTGCTCCTGGCCGAGAGGGTCCGGACCATGGGGTCGAACTTGTTCATCTCGCACTCGATGCTTTGTCCCTCGCTGGACAGCGGTGGGGTCTTGTTGAATGCCTTGGGCAACCCACATTTGCAAGCGGGGTACTTCTCGCCTGTCACGGAGTCCTCCGACCCAAAGGTGTTTTCGCAGGTGGATGTGTGCTGGTTGACGGAAAAGGAGCATACCCAGTAGGTGCGCTGACCGACGCCAGCATAATCGATCCAGCTCTCGATAGTGTCGATGTCATTGAGAAGCAAGTGAGACACCCTGCAGAATTCCTTTTCGCCCAGTGCGTCTGCGACGATTGCAGAAATCAAGTCCGAGAACAAGTTCTGCCAATTATGGGTCACCATCTTCTCGGGTTCTACAAGCTTGTCCTCCATCATGACCTGCGCCATGGACTTCCGATGATGGCTCGATTCAGGGATGATCGCTCGGAACACCACGTCATGCGTGGTGTGGCGCGAGGGGTCGAAGCCAGGCATCAGATCCTTGCCCAGGCGGCGATAGAAACCGAGCAGGGCTTGTAGAGATACCCCTCGGCCAGCCATCTCTGCCACCTTTGCCTGCCAGTCGGCATCCGGATGAGAAGACCACTCCTTCGCAGCCTTCGTCCACTTACCGATGCGCGCTGCCTCGCCTTTGAGCAGCGCCCTCCCACCGCTCAGGGCGCCGAAGAACGCTCCGCTGATCGCAAGGCTCGCCAACGAGTTGAAGATTGTGTCCACCATCCCAGGCAGCCGCGACCCGGCGAGCACGAGCAGCGGCGTCTTCGCCTCCTCGCTCGCGTCGGGCAGCGGCCAGAGGGCCCGGTAGGACCAGATAAACAGGGCGAACCAGACGAGGGAGGTGGCCAGGCCGGCGGCGACACCGAGCTGCTGGAGCCTGAGAAATCTCGGAGCCTGCCTGGCTTCCTCGAGCGCCCTGGCGCTCTCCGACAGCAGCGCGTCTGAAGCCAGACTCTGCACTCGTCGGATCGCCAGGATCGGAAGCAGCGAGACGTGGAGGATCTGAGCGAGGCACGCCCAAGAGAGCATCGAAGTGACCACTCTCATCGGATGCTCGCCTTGGTCTCCCCAGAGGCCCGAATTCCAAGACATGGCCACCAGCACGGGTGAAGACGAGGGTTGCCGACAGGCGCCTCAGAGCCAAACGCAGGCGCGACGAGCCAAGGTCCAAGTAGGAGCTGTCCTCCAGGGCTCTGACTTGGTGCAGGAGAAGCACGAGGAACATGACGAACGAGGTTATGTACAACAGCCCGAAGAGGTAGGCAGGCACCATCACAATCCAGTAAGACCAGCCAGAGCACTCCAGCAGGTTGGAGACCACATGCATCCACTTGCTCGCCCATAAAACGAAGGCGTACTCGGACACTCGGCGCAGGTAAGGCGTTGCAGCGAATGCGAGCAGGCAGGCGGCCACAGGCGCTGTCGGTAAGAAAGCGGCGACGGTGATCATCGAGTTGCCAAAAGAGTACTGCGCAAAGTCCTCCTTGCTCAGATGACGAGTGCTCGTCTCGTGGCTCTGGACCAAAACACACTCCTTGTATACACCCCTCCCACCTTCGACCACAACCATCACGACGTATGCAAACGATAGGGTCACCACAATCCCGGCAAACGCTTTGTGCGTGTACTTGTCAATCTGGCTCATTGACTGGTAGCCTTGGCTCATGATTATCTGCAGCAGGGCAGATCCTGCAGAGCTCGGATCTGCAAGACTGGCCACACTGACACACCTCAACCTGATGCACGCTTCTGTGCTTAAGCCACAATGGCTACGGTTGGGGGCCGTTTGGGGGCGATCTTTGGGGCCTCTTGGGCCGTCTTGGAGCGTCGGGAAGCCGATAAGGCGAAGAACTTGCACAGGAGAAGCTACGCGGGAGCTGCCAGGGCAGACGGGACCCGCTGCCGGGCCGGGAGCCTCCGGGGCGACCCGAGTCTCCAGCCAGGCACGGCCACGGACACCACGCGCCACAGCAATGCCAGGGCGGGCGGGAGGGAAACAGCGGAGCAAGCAGGGCCGCCCTGCCGCCGCAGCGCGCCCACAGCGCACCACCCCCTGAGGCAGCGCACCGAGGCGGGCCGCGGCCGCCACCACGGGCACCGCGACACGCGGGCCGCCACGACCAACCCCGCACGAGGGCGGACGCGGCGACCGCGGCCCTGGGGCCAGACAGGCGGACAGGCAGACCGACAGGCAGAACGACAGACAGACCGAGACCGACAGACGGACGGACACCGCCGCCATCACCGAGAGCGCCAGGCGTGTGAGAGACGGGCGAGATGGCGGAGAAGTGCCGCCAGGCCACGCACCACCAGCTCCACCAGGAGCTACACCCGAGGGCGAGTGAGACAATGAGCGGAGGAGCGGCCAGAAAGCTCCGGTCGCCCATCTGTTTTCTCACGCTGAAAGCGCTGCGCGCTTCCGTGATGAGAAATCGGCCCCTGGAGGTCGAGCAAAAACAAAAACCTTCCCGAATCCAGAACCTCGAATCTGCCCGCCCTCCTTGCTGGCCGGAACCAGTGTTAAGTCGGGCTTGTCCCCCTACAGGCAGATTTTGGGCAAAGAATGGGAAATAGTCCCAAACCATTCAAACATAGTCAAAACTAGTCGTAAAATCCTCATCCGACTATTTTTGGACTATTGTTGAATGCTCCTTTTGTAAAGGGACAGGCCCGATTTAAAACCAGTGTTGGGCCACATCAGATCCCCAGGCGGCTCCAGGGAGGGAGGAGCGCAGCGGAGGAGGGCGCACCGGGGGAGGCGACAAAACCTACAAATCCTCACCCTCCTGGGCAGATGTGGCAGGGACAACGCTTTCGCCCGATGGAAATGAGGGAGGGAGGAGGAGGAGGAGAAGGAGGAGGAAGGAGGAGGAGGAGGAGGCGGAGGAGGAGGAGGAGGCGGAGGAGGAGAAGGAGGAGGAGGAAGAGGAGGAGGAGGAGGAGGAGGAGGTGAAGGAGGAGGAGGAGGCGGAGGAGGAGGAGGAGGAGGACCAGTGTAAACCCAAGAGCCATCAACGATGTTGTAATAAACGCTCCCTCCAAGCTCCTTCTTCATAGGCCCCTACAACGATTCATTTCCATTGAGGAAACTGCCTCGTTGGAAGACAACTGGTTGCAGACACTGAAGGGTGTCAAAACATTATTCTCGGGATTCCAACGCCACGGATCAACCTGACTGTTTTGCTTTCTGACGATCCTGACTCGTGCCAGAACGACACCCCAGGGACTTCACCACAAAGAATCAACGTAACTGTTGCACCCACATAATCCTGAATCCTTCCAAAACACCATTAATGATACGTGGCTGATGGGAACCCGTGAACTTCTTGCAAACTGTTGTCGCGAATGTGCGCTGCGCAAAAGCGAGAACCACATGTTGAAAACCACCCGCCCTCAATCCGTGAATCTCTCGCAAACTTAAACCTGATATTGTCACGAACCCCGACCTTGGAGGACAAGTGGGCGTGACTCGCGAAGAGAAAAACAAAGAAATGGGACGCATAAGCTGTTTCCCGGAGTGCTAAGACCGAGGCTGGAAGCCAAACCTCCACGAAAAATGTACAAGCACTGCCAAGCCGAGGCTAGATGTACAAGCACTGTGCCAAGAAAAATGTAAACGGACAACTCCGTCCACGGAGAAAGCACACCGTTCTCGAGAACAGCTGTGAGCACAAGCGCACGTTGCCCGCCCAGGGTCATTCAGCTTTAGATCCGCTTCCCCTCATGGGCCTCATGGGGGCTTTGACCGCGTCCAACGAATTCGGGCTCGAGCACGAAAGCGGCAGCGCGCAACAGTGGCCGGCCAGGTTACCGTCACCACATCCGAGGGGGCTGGACGGGCAGGAGGGGAGGGAGGAAAGGAGCGAGTGGCCGTCTGGGGACTTCACGTGTTCCAGCCAGCTGCTCCACGTCCATGCCCTGTGCAAGGCGAGGTGCGCCGTCTCAGAGTAGTCCGTGACTGGCTCCTGGCATGCCTGGAGGAGAGTGATGCACTGTCGTGAGCCGTTGCCCCTCCGTCAGTGATGAGCCAGGCGTCCCAGTACTGTGTGGCATCGTGACCAACACGTACTGCAGCGGTCCAGCAGCGGGAGGGCACGGCTGCGCTCCGACATGTGCACCTCGTGAACTCGAAAACGTGGTCAGCCTGCCCTGCGCGGAAGCCTGGCTGAGGGAACCATCTGATGGTGTTCGTAGACAGCGCCTTCCAGAGCTAGCGTCCATGTCCCGTAGAGGCCGCTGACATGATCGATATGAGCGGCTCCAGCTTTGTAGGCCAGAGATGGGGTGTGGAGAAAACCAACGTGAGCCCTATGCTTGAGCCACAACGGTGACGGAAGAGCAAAGGGGGGAGAGAAGCAGCAGCACTATCAGCCGTGCACGGGGAAATCGCCGAAGGGTCGTGAGACTCTACTTGGTGGACCTCTGGAGGGCCATCCGTGACGGCGCCACCGACATCAGTGAGATTGTTGCTAGGAACTCCACAAGACGCCTGAGTGTTACTGGGCTGGCCAGACTGCACCACAGAAACCTGGATCCCTGGCGCGGACACGGTGAGACCTGCTGTGGCCTGCTCGGGACTCGGGGTGGCCTCAGAGCTCACAAGGGGGGCTCCAGAAATGCCTCCGACACCGCTGGCTCCAGAACTCACGCCGCCAGAGACAGAAGTCCCGTCACAGGCGCTAAAGTCCCCCTCATGAGCCCACGGGTCCCGGCGAAAGCTCACTTGGCGAGGGCGCGGCCGCGGGGAGAGAACTCATGTGCTGTTACGTTTTCAGGACTGGGATCCTTCTGTGGCCCCTGCCAACTTTCTCTTCGTATTCGCTGCGCGGGTGTGACAACACGTGTGCGTATCTCAATGCCGCACGCCCGACGCCCACTTTCTGGGGTGCCGTCCTTAGCGAACTCCCCTGAAAGAATCAAGAGCGCAAAACGGAACACAGGGGAGAAAACGCCCCCCAGCGTGACTGAAAATAACTCAGCCTGGGGGAGGGGCCGAGACGTCCACGGGCCCCGTGTTGCAGCAATCAAAGTGTCGGGTCTCTGGGGAGCGCTTTGGGTCCACGCGGGAGTTGCTAAGGGAACCGGGTGTCGGTGCGTAAGCGGATGCCCAGGTGAGTAATATCTGGCCTGACCTAGTTCCGAATGGGCTTGCAAGTGGCCTTAGCGGCTTAGGAGGGCAAAGGCATGGGCTAAGCTGGCAGGGAAATATAATCCCTCTGAGCCTCTTGCAACATGTCTTACCCACCTCCGTTTAAGCCATTCAGATGTCTGGAGAGCCCATGTGGCGATGCGGCGGACGGCGAGGTCGCCGCGGCGGACGGTGCCGCGGCGGACGGTGACGCACCGCTGGCCAACGTCTCGCGGCCGCGAACTCGGGGCAGATCTGCGCTGCACCAGGGAGGGCGTCGGAGCTGGTGTAGATCTTTGTGTGCGTGTGTGCATCTCACTCCGACTCGACTGTCTACGCCGCACCCCCACGCGCATGGCTGCAACGCAAAAAGTGTGTTTGTGTGGTTGTGTGTTTGTGTGTTTGTGTGTGTGCGTGTGTGCGTGTGTGCGTGTGTGCGCGTGTGCGCGTGTGCGCGTGTGCGCGTGTGCGCGTGTGCGCGTGTGCGCGTGTGCGCGTGTGCGCGTGTGCGCGTGTGCGCGTGTGCGCGTGTGCGCGTGTGCGCGTGTGCGCGTGTGCGCGTGTGCGCGTGTGCGCGTGTGCGCGTGTGCGCGTGTGCGCGTGTGCGCGTGTGTGCGCGTGTGCGCGTGTGCGCGTGTGCGCGTGTGCGCGTGTGCGCGTGTGCGCGTGTGCGCGTGTGCGCGTGTGCGCGTGTGCGCGTGTGCGCGTGTGCGCGTGTGCGCGTGTGCGTGTGCGTGCGTGTGCGTGTGCGTGTGCGTGTGCGTGCGTGTGCGTGTGCGTGTGCGTGCGTGTGCGTGTGCGTGTGCGTGTGTGCGCGTGTGCGCGTGTGCGTGTGCGTGTGCGTGTGCGCGTGTGTGCGTGTGCGCGTGTGCGCGTGTGCGCGTGTGCGCGTGTGCGCGTGTGCGCGTGTGCGCGTGTGCGCGTGTGCGTGTGTGCGTGTGTGCGTGTGTGCGTGTGCGTGCGTGTGTGCGTGTGTGCGTGTGTGCGTGTGTGCGTGTGTGCGTGTGTGCGTGTGTGCGTGTGTGCGTAGTATGCGTGTGTGTGTGTGCGTGTGTGTGCGTGTGTTTGCGTGTGCGTGTGCGTGTGCGAGCGCGTGCTTGTGCGTGCGCGCGTGCGCGTGCCGTGCGTGCGTGTGCGTTCGTGTGCATGCGTGTGCGTGTGCGTGCGTGTGTGTGTGTGTGTGTGTGTGTGGTGTGTGTGTGCGTGTGCGTGTGCGTGTGCGTGTGCGTGTGCGTGTGCGTGTGCGTGTGCGTGTGCGTGTGCGTGTGCGTGTGCGTGTGCGTGTGCGTGCGCGTGAGCGTGCGCGTGCGCGTGCGCGTGCGCGTGCGCGTGCGCGTGCGCGTGCGCGTGCGCGTGCGCGTGCGCGTGCGCGTGCGCGTGCGCGTGCGCGTGCGCGTGCGCGTGCGCGTGCGCGTGCGCGTGCGCGTGCGCGTGCGCTTGCGCGTGCGCGTGCGCGTGCGCGTGCGCGTGCGTGTGCGCGTGCGCGTGCGTGTGCGTGTGCGTGTGCGTGCGTGCGTGTGCGTGTGCGTGTGTGTGCGTGGTGCGTGTGGGTGTGTGGGTGTGTGTTGTGGGTGTGTGGTGTGTGTGCGTGTGTGTGCGTGTGTGTGTGGGTGTGTGGGTGTGTGTGGGGGTGTGGGGGTGTGGTGGTGTGTGTGGGGGTGGGGGGT